CATGACTTTTGCTGCCTGGGCAACTGGTCAGTCCCCACAATGGGGCCGCCGTTTCGCGCTCCCCTGTCGAATGGGTAGCTCCTTAACTGCCAAAAAGTGTAACCACCTCAATCTCGCTTACAGGCAACCAATAGGAAACACCAAAAATGACGCAACTCCATCACTGGTACACAGATATACATGGTAAGTCCATACAAATACAAGTCACTTTGACTGCCAAATATTCTTAGTAAGGTTTGGCCCATTCGAACTTTATAAACTTTCGAAAAATACAGAATGGCTTACATCAATAAAGAGCTCTAGTCTTATAGATGTGATTGAAATTTACAAACCACCAATATCACTGTATACTCAAGAAAATAAATAGCATTAAAGCCGTGTAAAATCATCATAATGGAAATGGGCTCTCAAATGCGCTAAGCCATTTCGAGTTATCAACGGTACGCTATTCCTCATTGAGTTTTTGACGGTACCTAGTACTTTTTGGACAATGAGTGGGTCCGGTGGTTCGGTAAGCCCCTTTTTTATGTCCGTCCCTAGTGAACTGCGTCATCGAATTAGTCGCTGCTATTTGTTGTACAAAAAACTAGCTTGGAGCCTATTTCCCAGGTATTCAGGATCCTATTTACGGCAGCTGAAGCGGCGTCTGCTATAATTGACACAAGGTGTTGGGTGTCAAGAGGTATAAGTTAGAAGGTAGGTGCAGCTGTTTGTGCAGGATGCTACTTCTTGTCCAGCCAGCTTTGTCCAGTACAAAGCGGATTTTTTTTCACTGCCTTAATATTTGGATTCCAGTCTGATGCATCTGATGGTACTTTTCCTCTAATAAAAACGACATGTTTCATCTTTGGGCTTCAGTGCACTTGAGCATATCCCTTTGGTATGCAACCCATCTTGTTCATCAGAATAGGGACCGCGCTACTGCAGTGTGGTAAATAATGTGACAATAAAACAATATACCGCAATACATACCATATAATACGCATTTTCTGATATTGTGACAATACAATATGCAGTTTGCCATATTGTGACAATACAATATCAGGCGATTCGTATTGGCAATATATTGCTTATATTGTTTGGTGAAACATAGGGTAAAGATTACTTGCTTGGCAATATATTGAATTGAATTGAATTTGGTATCGCCTATCGGCGCCCTAGAGTAGGCATGAGGCGTGCTAACTGGTCTTCAACAGTGTTTACATAACCCCACTTGCTAGTAAGCCCCGCAGAACGCGACCGACGGGAGTCGTCGCGTCCATGCTCTCACGGTTAGCCCCCTGAGCAGTTATTCATGTAAATTCCTCCGACTATAGCAGGTGTTCGCCCAGCGGCTGTTTATCTGTTAGTATCGATACCCGTCAGCGGGATCACGATTCCTGCTGAGGTTTTCCATCCGCGGACGTGTTCCCTCGCAGTCAATTGCGCCTGGTCTTTTCGTGGGGACCGGGGAGAGCCCTGACATCAGTGGCATATGCCTTAACAAAGGGAAAGCTGGTTGTTGAACGGGTAGCGTTAACTACTCGGGCTGGATACTAGTACAGAGCGCGCCAGGCTTGTACAGCCTACTCGGTTTAGTGGCGCTTGTTGATCTTCGTGTAATAGAAGTCCGCAATGCGCAGGTAAACCTTGTAGGATCTACCGAGGAACCGTCCTATCGCCGCTTCAGGGTCGGGTGTCAGCCGAACCCGGAGATGGCGAGGGATTTTCCTACAGTAGAAGAGATGGGTAGGCGACTTTTGGCGCCCGCAGGGGCAATCCAGGGTCGCCTGGCCTGGGTGAAATCTTTCGTGGTAGTCCGCAAAGTCACCGTAGTGTGATCGGGCAGCGAGTAGATATCCCAAAAGACGGCGTGGGAGAGCGAGTTCAGGGAGCTTCCGTAGCTCGACTCCTTGCCACCATTGCTGGTAGTCTACGGCTATCTGACCCTTGACCTGTCTCCTGCGGTAGGAGACTGAGGGAAGGTGCTCTGGGACTGGGAGATTGGCTCCTTGTTTGGCTAGAAGGTCTGCCAGCTCATTTCCGAAGATGCTGCTATGCCCTGGGCACCATTTAACAGATACCTGGTACGGATATTTGTCTCCCAACTTCTGAAAGACTCTGAACTGGGCCTGTGAGGAGTTTGGTGCTGTTGCTCTGATGCAGTCGATGACAGAGGTGTTGTCCATACAGACTGTGATTGGTTCGTTGGTGAAGTTGGCGAGTACAGCGCATTGGAGGCCTTCTAGAGCGCCGTGGATTTCTGCGTCAAAGACTTCTCTGCGGCCAAGTTGGCCAAAACCCCAATCAGCGAGGCGTCCGTTGTGGAATACTGCGAATCCATACCCTGCGGTATCTCTTTCTGTCTTGGAGCCGTCGCTGAAGACGACATAGCCTGCGGGTTTATCCTCAAGCCAGTGCTGGAATTCTACAGCGGTGGTTTCTTTGGGTGGTCTTTTTCCTGCGGCTTCGGTCGGGATGTTATCATTGAAGCGGCGTGCTATAAACCTTGGTCGTTCGACCTCCTTCGCCCATGCCGCTGTTCGGAGGAGTCGGCTATGCCTCTGCAGGGTTTGGCTGCGTGTTGTTGGGTGGTTGCTCTGGTCAAGTTCATGCTGCGCTTGTCTTAGCCTTCTGGATACCGGGTGCGTAGCATCTAGTGTGGCATAACGGAGCGCAGTGCGCGCTTGTTGTTGCTTGAGTATGATGTCTGCTGGCGGTATACCCGCCTCCTTCCAGAGAATGACTTGTGGGGTGGTCTTCCAAACGGGTAGGACTGCGTGGCAGGCCTTGTTTAGGATTACTTGAAGCTTTGAGAGATGGGTTTTGGTAATCGTCCTTGCACCCTTGTGTGTTGACTCGGAGAGGAAGCCGGGAAACCATGTGTCTAGCCCGTAGAAGAGTGTGGGTAAGGCTACGGCATAAATCGCTCTCCTAGCTGCTACTGCTGATGTTCCGCGGACTGTGTTGTTAACGAACCGCAACTGTGAAATAACCTTTTCGGCCTTGAGTGACCATTTCTCGATGTGCGTGTTGAAAGTGAGCCTGCGGTCGAGCCAGACTCCTAGCCAACGCATTGCCTTCTGTGCCTTAATCTCCTTGCCTTGGTGGGAGACCGGTGGCGAGCTACTGTTCCTTTTCCTAGAGAAGTGCATGACCTCTGTCTTGTCTGGGTCGAAGGAGAAAGCCTCTTGCTGCCCCCATGTTTCCATTGCGGCGATCGCCGTGTTTGCTTTTGTAGTGGTCTCCTCCAGAGTGTCCCCTACAAAGAGCATCGCTGTATCGTCCGCGTAGCCGTATCTTTCCGTTGCTCCTGGAAGAGAGTAAATAGGGGTGGTGGCTAGGAGATAGAGAATCGGCGATATAGGCGAGCCCTGAGGGAGGCCGCAGGGCAGTTCTGCGGGCCCTGTTTTAGCATCCTGGAATCTGACTAGAGCTTTGCGGTGGGAGACGAAGTGGTAGATCCACCAAATCAGGAAAACCGGCCATCCTTGTTGTCGGAGTCGTAGGATCAGCCTATTGGGGAGGATAGCATCGAAGGCCCCTTTGACATCCATTGTGACAAGTGTGGCCATCTTGCCGTTACCTAAGGCACGTTCAACATCGTAGAGGAGTGCGGTGACGATGTCTGTAGCGCTTCTTTTGGGGAGTGCTCCAGCCTGGTTAGGGTGGAGGACCTTGTATCTGATGGCTAGGAATGCAAGGCGGCGGCCAATTACTCGTTCCAGGCCTTTGGACAGGCAGGAAAGGAGGGATATGGGGCGCCACGCAGAGATGTCACTGAGATCTCTCTTATTGAGTTTTGGGATCATCGCTACCTCTGCTGTTTTGAAGGGAGTTGGGTGATATCCTAGGGTGAGGCAAGCGTTGTAGAGAAGTGTGGTGACATGTGAAATGCTTGGCCAGATTGCTTGGAGCATTTTCGTTGTAATACCGTCCATTCCAGGAGTGGTGTTCCCAGTTCTGAGTAGTGCATCCTGGGCTTCGCTGATTGGGATGTGTGCCGAAAAGGGGATTTGTTGGGTTGGTGAAGCTGTGGGGATCCATGGATCTGGGATATCATCTGACACGTCCCGTCTTTCGAGCTTCTCCTTGCGTAGGATGTTGGCGCGCTCTAAGTTCGTTGTATAGACTTTGTTTTCATGTTGGATTGGTGGAGGTTGTAGCTGTTGCCTTGGCTTTATCCAGCGAGTAACCCGGAATATATCAGCTTGGTCTGTGATATCTGCAACAATAGTGCGCCAGAAGTTTCGTTTCGCGCGGCGGACGGTGC